ACCTTGCGTCAGAATCGTTGTCATATCATACGTACAGTCCGCTTTGGGAGAGCCTAAACCCATCTTACCCCTCACGGCTTTCTGACGCGTCCCCCAAGATTCGAACCCCAAGAACTCCATCATATGGGAGAGTTAAGTTGAATCCTAATACCAATTGAACAAATCAATTATATAAAATTGATTTTGCTTTGAACTAACAAATGCATTAATAGTATTAGTATAGCCAACACACGATTTTAACATTAAAAAAGTTGAATTCCATCTATTAGGAACATCATCAACAAATTTTCTTCTTCTCAATCCAAGATTTTTCGTCTAGGATCCAAATGTCTTGTTTCATTTAAATGTTTCTCTTTATGTCTCCGTAGTGTGCCGGCCTTGACCATATCTCTAGACATAATTTTTTTTGCAGATATTGCATACTGCTTTTACATCCTTTTCAGTTACTGTAAAATTTGTCACACCCATGATGTTTTTTTTCCTTGAATTTTGAGATGATCCAACTTCTACAATATTATCATCTTCTAAATTTATTAGGGAGCAACTATCATTGAAAATAGGATTTTGAGAAGAAGAATCGCGAAAATCCATAATATAGTAGTATTAAACAGTTTAGTAGTAAGAAGAAATAAATATAATAGAGATGATGATGATATTTGCAATTGAATAATTGTAATTGCAGTAAGGCAGTAACAAGTATAATAACTAATAATGGTGTATTGTAAAAATAATTGTAAGAATATTACCAATTAATTGGAATTTATAGATGAAAGGATGATTTTATTATTACAAAAAATGTTAATAAAAAAATAAACAAACGACTCTTCGTTCGTAGCATGCAGCAGGCAGGCGTAGCCTACATGTATACAGCCATGCAGGAAGGTGCACCTGCCTGCCAGCTTGCTGCGGTACGCCTGCATGCATGCAGGAAGGTGCGCCTGCCTGCCAGCTTGCTGCAGGCTATCTGCAGTAAGGTAGCTAGGCCTCAACGGTTCTCTCCCCCCTTTTTTTTCAAAATTTTTTTCACGGGTCAGTGGGTTAACTACGCCCGTAAAGGTGCAACCCGTGAAACCCGCGGGTCACATCTCCTTGACCCGTGATCCGCCCGCTAGGGTCACGAGTCAGCCCGTGCTCCCGGGTCTATCTGGGCCAGTTTTCACGGGTCTGACCGGCTCGTCCGTCTTGACACCTCTATTTCAAAATGATCAGTTAAATTTTGCACGGGGGTAGAATGGAGAATATATATCCCTAAATTGTCAAAGAGTACACAGTTCTTGTCAGTATGATTACTGTTCCAACGTTCAAAAATTGCCTACAAATAGCAAAAAATGTGCATCAAACCGGTGGTAAATTTGTAATAAGTTTTATAATAAAAAAAAACTCGAGTTTCTTATTAGTTTATTACTACTCTCATATTTCTCCCACCTTCGATTAAGTCACTTCATTTCATGACTCGGGTGTGTGTGTCTGAGTGAGGTCACATTAGGAGTTACTGAAAAATCGAAACTAAGAACCATCACCGTGACTAAGATCTCATCACAAGTTGAAGACAATCAGATTGCAAGAAACGACACTAGAATTGTCCTCGCTCTTTTTCAAGGGCTTTAGTCCTAGCAACACTGGTATGTGCATCTATCCTTTAGGCCGACCAGTGACCACTTCTCTTCCAAAGCCAATCAATGTTCTTTTAACTTCATAGTTGGTCATAGCCATGGAGATCAGGAGCAGTCATTTCATGGGACATGTAATCCATTTAAGCCCTTCTTCAGTGAAAGTAATCAAGCCCCCATTCTCCACTTGCATAGTCTCCATTGCCCTTGTCTACTGGGGATATGGCTCTTCTGATCTCACCGACCATTTATAAACCTTCTGTGAGGACTTTATATCGCTGCAAGATGATCCTCCCATGGTGGTTGATGCCAATCTACCAATTGGTTGGTTAAATATGGTTTCTTCTCATTTTCTCTTCTTCTCTACACAGAATCTTATCGAGCAATCAAATAAAACCATTCACTAAATTACCTGAATTTACTTGCAAAATTCCAATTAATTTTCCATTAAATCTGATATGGTCATGATTGTTCATTTCGAGCTCTGAAGTCCTGAGGATCGATATTCACTAATATGAGACCCCTCATCCTCGAGCTTGAAGTAGTCCTCGGGAAGTAGTCCTTGAGGTTTCCCGAGGACTAGCATTATAGTTCTTACAATATTTTGGTGATGACCATCCTCGGGGTGAGTATGAGATATTTTGACCAAAACACGTTGTGTCCTCGAGCACTTTCTTTTACCAAACTCAAAGATCTTCCTGCTTAAAGGATTCTAAACATATCCAAACATCTCAATTCAAAACTTATGTCTAAAGGAAGTATGTCTTTGTAAATAGTATAGTTGAATTATGATTATACTTACAATTGTAACCCAATACCCATCTCAAGTAGGACTTCTAAGGATAAGGATACATAGCTAATCAAGTCATACCAGAAATGAACTACCCACCTCTATAAATACAAAGCTTATATTCATTATTAAGGTACGTTTTACATAATTTTCAGTTTATAGACTCACGCATAAATTCTTTCTCTAACTTAAACATTGGAGGGTCGATGAGGACATATCTCGACGCCTTTGCTTCAGATACCATAAGATTTTGTTCGCGCTCAATCTCTGTCGTTAAGCTCGAAAATCAACATGTATGGTTTTTGATAGCATCATTAGCTGCCGTCTGTGGAAAATGCTACAAAAGGCCATAGTTAATACGCGTTCAAGTATTCCTCCAGTAAGCTCATCCACTCTGAACCCATCGCCTATTGCGGATCCCCCAATTCATCAAGAAGAATCATCAGAAATACGAGCTCACCAACCAGCGGTGATTATCGTGGGAGCATTCGAAGAACTCCGTCAAACAAGTTGCCACACCGACACAATTGCTAAGTCTAAGAAATTCTCATCCGGTAGTCGCACCGGCACAACCTGTAGGTTTCATGGCCGATGCTCGAGCTCAGGACACTTACAACACCCTCGATGCCTTTGTTTCATGTACTAGAAGTTCATATTCATGTTCATTCTCAATCGTCAAGCTCGAAAATCAACATGTATGATTTTTCGTAGCATCAAAATTCGATTGCAAAATATAGTTTGAAAAACTAAGAATTGAATTAAAGTCTCAACTGAAGAGCTGAAATTAATTCCCTGTTACTCGATTAATCTTCTCCAGAGTTTTATTTTCTTTACATCCATTTCCAAGGTTCTTCCCCTGTAAAATGTTAAATTCGGGCTTAAGATACCAAAAGTTCCAGAAGATATAAGAACAGGATCATAGTAATTTATCTTGGACTTGTAATCCAATATTAATTATCAAATGATCCCAAGCAAAAATTTGAGCGTAAAACAGTTTTTGTATATGCGCCAAATCACAAGATAAATAACATTACTGAATTGTAACATACGCTCATACGTACGAAAGTAAAATACTTAAATATATCTATTGTAACATATGCTCATGGAAAGTAAAATACTTAAATATACCTAGGACTTCAAAGATAGTATTTAATAAATAACCATCAGCTTCATCTTCATTGCTGGCATAAAAGATTCAAACTCATTTTCTCTTTATCAACACTGTCCAGTGTTGTAGACATACCAGTTAGTCTCCTGGAAAACAAATCCATCATGGAATATTATCAATGACATTGTCAATGAAACTTCTCAAGAAATCATACGACGAGCCACCTTCCATCAAAGTCATTCTACTGTTATGTTTCATCTGTTTTATCCTAGTCCTCATTTCACTCTCAGGCTCCATTAGGCTCCTGATTCCCTTCTCTATTTCTTCAGCCTCCACAATCACACCACTGCCTCTCATATAGTCCATCTTAATCTCCACAGCAATTCCCAAGTCCTTCACCAACTCGAACGCATTAACTTGCTGCTCGGCATACATTGGCCATGCTGCTATTGGCACTCCACACCAAACACTTTCCAAAGTCGAGTTCCACCCACAATGAGACACAAAGCCTCCCACCGAAGGGTGAGATAAGACGGCTACTTGTGGCGCCCATCCTATTACCTTCCCAAATCCTGCAGTGCGTTGCAAGAACCCTTCTGGCAATACTTCATCAGGATTTTCGTACTCTGATGGATACTTGAATCTGTCATTGGGAGGAGGCTTTCTCAACGACCACAAGAACCGGTGGCCACTCTGTTCAAGTGCAATCGCAATCTCTTTAACCTGGTCACCGTTAAAATATCCCATACTTCCAAAGCAAAGAAACACAACAGAAGAAACAGGTTGTTCGTCTAGCCACTTCATGATCTCATTACATTCTTTGTTGTCGTCACTTTTAGCGTTAACATGAAGTATCGGGCCTATAGAGTAGACCGGTGGGATATTCTCATAATCAGAGAGGGACTTCATTGCATAGGCTTCCAAATCCCAGAAGGTATTTATCATAATTCCCTTGGTCTTTCTAAACTGTCTCGCCATGCTGAGGAACATAGCCAAGCCATCCTTTTCAAAGAAAGGAGAAGGAAACACTTTAGCAGGAACCTGATTTATATACGTTGGAACCAATAACTCAGCATCCGAGTTCTTGTACTCAGCGACGTCCAGGTTCTGTTTGTCGCTAAGACTCTGCAAATGGAAGATGAAGCCAAGCGCCGCTGCACTAGATGTAAAGAAGACATAAGTTGGGACCCCAAACTCATTGGCTATGTCGATCATGGCTGTGCAGAACATATCAATAACAAATCCAGCAAGTCTAATCGAGTTGGACTCATCATGGACTATTTTCGCTACAGCATCTCTTACGGGATCCTTGTGGTTTTCGATGAAATGTGTGGGAAGGCTGTTGGGCGTGATGGGCAGGTCGAGAGAAAATTCTATGAAACGTATGCGCGAATTGGATTTTAGGGACAAGGAATCGGTCTTCGACTCCATTGGCAAGTTCATGATGAAGACAGTGATTGAGAGGCGTTCATCTCTATCAGTGAGAAGCTTAGCCATCTCAATAGTTGATGCCAAGTGACCCATTCCTGGAGCAGGAATGAAAACAAGCTCTGCTTTCTTTGTTTCTGCCATGTTCTTTGGCTCTTCAGTTCAGGACAACTATAAAAAACAAGAGAGAGGCTAGATTACGCTTCTCCTAGATTTATACATGTATATATATATATTTGTATTATTAGCAAGTAAATGAAGAAGAGTATATTCTTGGAGAATACTCATAGGGGAGACCTCACGGCTCTTTCTACTTGTAGAAAATTTCATGTTCAAACGTCATGGCTATGTCTGCATCAGTTAAATGAATGCTTCCATTAATTTGTGTGTGGGCAGTAATCATTGACTAAAGAAAATAAAAATCTTGTTTGAGCCCTTTTTTTCAAAAAATTATTTTTTCAAAATTCATTACCAACCACGCATTTTTCAATAAAATAATTATACAATTAAATTGAAATTTTTTCTTTTTTTTATCCACACATTTTCCCAAAATCACTATTCTAAAGTGCATTTTTTTTTTTTCCAAAATGGGACTCAAACAAGGCAAAGTTTAAGATTAATAATTAAAGACATCAAAATTATTAGTATATTTAGTATTTACTGGAAACAGGATTAAATTTTAATTAAGATATAGACCCGCTAAGACCTACCTTTGTGAGACAGATTTGAATTTTCTAGTCTAGTTGGTAATAAACCAGCATGGTTATTAACTTATATTTGATTTTCTAATGATATATTTTGAAAATTTTAAAAATGTTATAAAAGGTAAGTTTATTAGTGAATGACAATTGTATCCCTACAATTTTAGAAATTATTATCATTATATTCATAATCATTCCCTATAAATATGGTGTTTTGGTCCTCTATAAAATACACACAAATCTATTGATTTTCTCTCTAATTTATAATATGTTATCGGCACGACTCTTTCAAAATCAAAATAAATTAGTTAGAACGTAATAAGTTTTATAAGCATAATCATTTATTATGTATATTAAAATTAATATGATAACACGTGAATTTTATGTATACATATATTGGAATGATATTCTTTCCGTTGCAATGATTATGTGACCTTGTCCCAATCTGTTTCTTGTATACCCAGATTCTGCCGCCAATCATTACACCCGAAAAAGTGGTTGCCAAATTATTTGTAGAATTTTACTGTATGTACATCGAGGTTAAGCCCCCCTCCTCTCCACCCAAATAGGTGGTCCACTAATTTTTTTATTGGATGCGAACTCCCCTATTTTGTGAGGAAATTGTATGTTGAGGTGTCAATCTCGACGTGCAAATAGTAAAACTTGTAACTGGGCGTAATGGTTTACCCGTATTCGACTGTTTTGTTAATGTTTTGGAGTCAAAGTTAGGATGCAAAGAAGCTGATTACTTTCCATTCCAAATTATTATTATTTTTAATTTACTAATGCCATGTCTGCGTATGAATTCATATGTACTATGCTTCTGCGTGTATTTGTTTATCAACTCTTGTCTGTCAATATTTACTCCTGTCTTCTCTCAATCTATGTACAAGACCCACAATTCAATAAAATAACTGTGCACTGGTTTCAGCCCATGTTGGAGACTTGGAGCTTCTAAGGAATGCATTTTTGAATTATAAATTAATGAAAAGTGTGTGTTTGAAAAATAAAGAAAAATTTTGAATTTACGTTAATATTATTTTATTAAAAAAATGTGTAATTAAAAAAAAAAGAAAAAAAATACATTTTGAAAATAATGGAAAAAAAAATGTCATATTTCTTGAAGACTTGAACCATTAGATCATGTTACATGTACCGAATTTTTTAAATGAATCTTTTACCTACTACTCACAATGGGGACGAGGATCACATTGTCAGAATTTTTAAATACACGCGGGCCTCACGCATTATGTGAGAGTGAATAATCCATTGTACACAAACCATTATGTACAAATTGATTAACACTTGCTCTTTTGGAGGTTTTCTATATTTCATTCTTCATATCACATTAGCACGCCATTCAATAAAAGAAAATGTGGAATTTCGCCCTCGGGGTATAGCTTAGTGATGCAAATGACAGGAGTGAGGTAGTTTCGACTGAACTGACAACCGCAATGTGAGGGTTCGATTCCTAACTTTTACAAGGTATGAAATTCGACTTTTTGTGGGCACCAGTATGGTAGCTCTTGTACCCTAAGTTGCTGATGCACATCTCGCGATTTACCTCATCCATAATGCTCTAGGGGTGGGGACGGTGGAGGACTATCAAGATTGGGGTTCAATCTTTTTTTTTTTTAATAAAAGAAAATGTGGATAATTATGTGTAATAGTTTTATACTCTTGCACGTGTACTTATGTTTGCTGAAGCAGTATTTATCGTTCAATTAATTATTACATTTCATTCTTTTAATACGTAGTATTCTTTATGAATTCAATACTCTTATATTTGTCTATCATAAAATTATTATTGTTCCAGAAGTAACACAATATTATAATCAATATTCTAAAAGAGTGTTGATATATTGTTCTTGGAAAAGCAAATATATGGCTCCTGAAGAGCTAATATTTTGAAATAATAGTTCGTTGTTGTGCTTTAAGTTGCACAACATCATAATTAATGTTTTAAAAGAACATTACTTGCTCTTGAATAGCATGAATTATAATTTTCGATATTCTAGAAGAGGATTGATATATTACTCTTGAAAAAGTAATAATAAAATATAATGTATTTTTGAAGTAACACATTATAATTCTCATTAATATTCTAGTTAGATTTTACTTGCTCTCGAAGAGCATAATAATATAAAATCTAACATAAATTATGTTTCTATTCTTGAAGATTAAATCCTTACATAATTTATTATTCTAAACAATAATATATTATCACTCCTGAGGAGCTCATTATTATTGTTATTTTGTAATTAAATACGATTCAGACATTTAAATATTTGACAAGAATATTGCATAATTGTTTGAATCAATTAATGATATTTTTGAAAAATATTGTGTTGCTCTAAAAGAAGCACATTTTTATATTTTGTTACACCTCACTCATTTATAGTCAAAGTCAAGAAATTAGTTATTCAAAGTCAAATGGTCGACTAGTCAAAGTCAAAGTCGAATAAGGATTTAAATGAAATAAATTATTTTATTGGGATTATTTTATAAATTGACAATAATTGAGGGTTTAAGATGTGTTAAATTTAAAGTTGGGGATATACTCATTTATCATTGGAAGTTATGTTACCAAATGTTATAGCAATTGAAAGATGAGGACCTCCTTGGCAAAATGGGATAGTGGAGTATAGGTGTCATCTTTTTAAGACCCATTTCTCACTTTCAATCTTACATACCCAGAGAAACAAACCGGCAGGGAGATGTAGGCGGTGGAGTGGATAGATATTGACTAAATCCATTTTTATCCTAATCTTAACATATACAACACACTTACACACACAATTTATACACAGAGGGAGAGACCGAGAGAAAGAGAAGAAGCAAGAAAAAAAAAAGAAGAAAGAAAGAGGGGAGGAAGAAGGATAGAAACGTGAAGCTGGAACCAGGTTTTGCCCAAATTTAATTTCTAGTTGGTTGTAATACAAGGTAAGATAGGAAATCTTTATGTCAAGAATAAATTTACCTAAGTGTTCTTCACAGCTGGGATTGGCAATTTAATTGTTAATATCATAATATGGATGGTTTAGGTAAATAGGAGTTATGCGTGATATTAAAAAACTTACGGGTCTAGTTTCTATTTTAATTATTAACTTAAGGTATAAAATAAATTAATTGGAATTAGAGGTAGTGAGATGGATATACTGGGGGATTAACTTGCTGATGGAGTTATGTGGAGGTGTGAAGAAC